GAAGAGCAAAGAACGTCTTGAAGAAGCCCTAATCTCATACCACATAGAATACTGTGCAACAGACTGTGGAAGAGAGAAAGGTGTTATTCCTTAAGTAGTATTAGGGAGGCTGGCTATAAAAATCACTTTTCATCATGCCCTTATCTGGGCACAGGGAAATTAATAACAGAAATTTTCACTACAACTTCTCCTTCTCTCCTTCTCTGCTCCCCTTCCTTAGGAAACAGCAGTAGTTTTGTGTATACATTTCAGTATCCAAAAGCGTGTCAGATTTTTCTGGTTTATCTCTTTCTCAGCACAGCTCATGGAAACTCATGTTATATGCCATCATAAAAACCAATTTGAAAAAGCTGTAATGTGGTTAAAGTAAGTAATCTTCATTCATTCTGAAGACCTTTTTCCTGCTAGTTTTTAAAGACTAATTGCAATGTCTGATGTTGCACTTCTTGTCAGGCTGAACTTCTGTCCCAGGCAGATTCTTTTAACTGGACTTTGTACAGATTTATAATTATATTCATAATTTGGGATCCTAGAATGCACCATTTGCTTAAAGAATAGGAATTTGACTTTCAGATCTTTTAATTTAGAGCATCTGTTGTTGAAGGAGCTGGAAGTTTATTTACTCACTAAGTAAAAATTCTCAACAGGTAATGTTAATAACAGTATCTTGCTGTTCAGAATAACAAAGTACCAGAAAACAAAAATCAAATGCTAAGGTTAGCCACAAGATAAACTAACCAGTGACATGCTCTATTGTGAGCTGAAGCTCTGTCAGATTGTCAGGAGGAATTAGTTCTTAAGCAAGCTATTTATAGGAACATAAGACTGGAAGGCACCACCAGGGTCACAGAGTCATTGTAATAGAAGAGAATTTGTTAAATAACATTTCTCCATGATCCTATGAAAATTTTCCCCCTAGCTTCTCTGAAGCTCCCTGCTGGCCCTTTTTTATTTGTAAAGCTGGAATTCAGCATTCTGTGACCATAGGATCAAGATTTACTGACCAGACATTGAAGCAATTTAATACCTCTAGGTGCATTGGTTCACCCTGACCTACATTCTACTTGTTTGTGACTGACAGAGCAAAGAAAGGTGAATACTCATTCGTCCTTTCTGAAAATCAAGAAACATATCAGAAAGAATAAAAATCTTTTCTGGATGTTGCAGCTAACCAAGAAATCCTTTGCGGCAGGATAAATACAACTACAGCACAGGTACACATTTGAGAACTGAGAGCAAGGGCTGCTCTGTTGCCCTTATCTCCTATAATGGGCCTTTCAAGACTTTCAAGCAGCTGGTGTCCAGATAATTTAAAGATTCACAGGCAGAATTGCATACAGAAGTGATGAGGAGTCTATTGCAAAGGCCTGAGCAGCTGAGGTCTGAGGTGATTCATTCTTCTCACAAGGCAGGCAGCTGTTTTCAGCAGAATCTGCAGCTTTTGGGTAGCCTTACGGGGCTGCTATCCTTCCTCCTGAGAAGTTATTAAAGTCAGTGGAATTACATACAGGATGAACTTGGCTCTTTAGGTGTGGGAGAAATCATTTCCAGTACTGACATATGGATATTAGCACTTCTTTATGCAAGGCTTACAGACAGGCTTTAGAAATGTTTACAAGGTGGGAAGGACAATGAAAGAACATGTAAAATCATTTCACCCTGATTCATCTTTGGAAGGAACTTTGTATGCAGATCACTCTCCAGTTGGCTGTGTCTGCCAGAACCCTTTCTTCCAGTCCTGAACCTCATAGCCCTCCTACACCAAGGAATTTGGGCTCTGTCCAACAGAGGGCTGGAAAGAATGTACACATTTCCCTCTACACTTACACATGCTTCTCATCTTGGGGACTAAAGATAACTCTGCTGAAAAGTGCATGTGAACCGAGTAAGAAGTTCTGAAGAACTGGTATGAAGCAGGGCTCCACCAAATCGTCCCATCATTCATACATGCTGCTGGCATTGCCCTGAGTCCAGGAACCAAAGCCCTCCTTTCTTTCCTGGCAGCCAAAGGATGGTAACTGTACCCCACGTGCAGAGGATCTTTAAGGATACCAAGTAATTTGTTCTCATCAGTCACTGTGCCTCTAGCCAGGGAGATAATACATCTCCCGAGTCTTTTAATCTAAATTAAAAGAATAAACTGAACCATGTGCTGTATTTTTATACCCAGTGGGCCAACTGCCTTTCAAGCTGTGGAATTTGAAGAGCGAGAGCAGAGTTACACAGCTAGTTGAACCAACACCTTTCTTTCATGGATACAACAGCACAAACAATCCATTAACTGGACAATGGCCACTAGAGAAGCTGACCATAACACAATGCTGCTCCCTAGGTACACCTCCTTTAACACCTATTTGCTTCTTTTGCCATGGGTTCTCTTCATTCCAGAAAGCTGCTGTAGTGGTGAGGAGGTGTTACCTAAACTTAGTTTAGCTTTGACATAAAAGTGCAAACAATTTCATTTCACATCACAGCAAAATTTCGCCATATACTCTCAGAATTTTGTCACAATTAGTGTGTGGGGCATAGAAACATCTGGATGTATGGGAATAATTGCAAACTGGTGTTCTGTCCTGCATTCATATTTTTCTGCTGCTACTTGAGTTAATAATTTCTTGCATGCATCTTCAGATACTGATGCTTATATGCATTTTCAGAAGAGAAGGGTAAGTGCTTGGTTTGAATCTTAGAAATTAAATAACAGGATTGAAACCAGCATGAAAGTGTTTAATTTAATTAAACATATGCCTAAATATATCACAGAAACTGTGTAATGATAGGTGGCATTTCTGAAATGGCAGCGAGGAGCTTGTGATCTGAGTGATCACCTGTGAGTTAGAGCTCAAGGTTTTATGTATGTCTTGTTTTGCCACTGACACTTGGATAAACTTGGTTACATCATTAGCCTCTTTTTACTCAAATTGTCCCTTAAATGACACTAATCATTACAGTCTTCACATGGTTCCTTCTTGAAACTTAATTCATTAATGTACACAAAATACAGTGAGACAGACAAAATGTACTAAGTATGTGAGAGGTGTGTGAAAACTGTACACTGGCTGTGGCACCATGGCGATTCTGCAGGGAACTTTTAAGAAAGAAACAAACTCCTATTTTGATCACATGCTATTTTGATTCCAAAGACAATCCCAAGGCCAATTCAGGTAAGAGCAAACCTCAGGTTTATTTACATTTATATACAGTCACTTACATATAGATAAATGCGTAGGAAGTAACAGTGGTCAGTATGATTATGCTAACAATCCCCATTAAGAGAGGAAGATGAGAAGGGACAGAACGGTGTTTGGCAGTACAAAAATGCTCACTCATGACTTCTGTTTCCTTCTGAAACAGTTCATCAGTGTAAAAACTTCACCCTTGCAATTCAGCCAAGGTCATTGAGACACTGTGATGTGCTGAGCAAGATCAACAGTGCTTGAGGCAGCTTTACTTTATAAGTAAAATATGTAAAAATCTAATGTAACTTGCTCCGCTGCCTTTAAGCTGGTAGGACATGGAGGCTAATCTGATAGCTCCTTTTTGTTTTCTTTCTCCCTGCTTCCCTGTGTTCCCTACACTCTTTCCTACTTCTGTCCTAGTGGAGGCCTCTTCATGAAAACAGAAAGTTTTTTGAAGACACTAAAAATTCTGAAGAGGAATTTCATCAATCTAATCTTAATTAAGAATAAGCAAACCTTTGAGATGCATACAGTGTAAATAGCAGCAAAAATGTAATACTCACTTTACACTAACAGCAGCAGAAGTTGGAACCCAGAAGAGGGTTCTTGCAGATGGCAGCGATGGCAACCTAGAATTCCCCCTGAATATACTTACACATTTTCATAGTTAGAACCGCTTGTTCTATCTTGATAGTCTCAAGTTCTAAGGCTCCTTTCTTGGAGATATTGTATATCCACTTTCAAGCAGCGTGTAGGGACTATGGAATTTTGTTCAGCTTGATATGAAGAACCTGTGTGGCATTTCTTATTTTCTGTTGTTGGCTATTTTTTTACCTCCAGATGTTCAGCTGTCTATGAGAGTACTCAAGGAAGCACAGTTATGCTGTATTCCAACACTGAATCAGTTTAATTGAAAAAATAATGTGATATGTACAATAAGGAAATTTGAAATTAACATCCTAGCTATTCACAGTTAAATACGAGGGTTTTCCTTTCTAATAGGATGTAACAGAGTGTTACTAAGTGATTTTAGGTGATTTAAAAAAAAAAAGTGAACTTAATACTCATATGAAGATATTGTAAGAAACCAAGCACATACCATGGAGTACCAGAGAGGACAGCAGGCTGCACTGTCACCCACTGCAGCCTGATTCTAGTAATTTTGTTCTTTCAGCAATGGTGAACCTCCTGATGCTCATGGAAACATGCCCTAGCAAGAGCAACCTGATCCTATGTAGTAACCTGCCATGCCTGATTGATGCTTAGGACTAGCTGGAGTTACATGGCAGTAAAACTTCTTCTGTGCTAAGCAACACCTATGCACATACAGACACAGTGGAAGCTTATTGCAAAGCTCCTGGGACTACTACCACTGCCTTTGTTGTTCTACTTACATAGCACAGAACTATAGCAATAAATACCCAGATAAGACAGATGTAAATTTGATGGATGAAGTACTGTTTTATCTAATAATCTAGATCAAAACGTTAAATTTTCCTTTGCATTTATCACACACTCTTCTAGCACATATTGGCAATAGGTTCACTCATCCTTCTAAAAGACTGTAAATAGTTGCCAGGTTCACAGCAGCAGGTAGATGCAAGCCTGTGCATTGGTATTATTGAAAGCAGGTCTGCTACCTGCTGCTTCTTAACCTTAAAGATGCAAGCATGGAGAAGAGTCTATTCTTCCTGGTTCAGGATGTTCCTAAGCTGCAGAAAGCTGGAAGGGCCATACTGGAAGAAGTTTTATCAGGTGCTTCTCCTATTTTTCCCCAAATATACTCTATTATACACTTAGAGCGAGGCTTGGCTAAATGGCTCTTTGCTCTGGCTGAATAGGGCTTTGCTAAGGGGCTCTGTTTATTCTTAACTATTGCAGCAGCCTTTGGGCCTGAGTCTATAAAATGCTAACAGAGGGCAACCTCACTCCAGTAATATCAGGGCAGGCAATTAACACATGACTGTCTGCAGCTCTCAGCAGATGGCTGATACACATGCAATCTTTAGCTCTGACTGAGAGGGACCTTTCCAAGGAGACCTTATTTCTCCCTACAGCAGCAATAAATAACCTGGAAGTGCAGCTGCCAATTGGCTTTAAAGGTCAACAGAAAATCTCACCCAGGCTTCCTGCTGCCAGGCGGCTGTCAGCTGGCTTTCTGCTCTGAGGTGAGCATGTCCTGCAGGATGCAAAACACCCATCAGCTGTGTTCTGGGTTTTGGCTGGAGCACTCATGTGCTTTGGTGTGAGGCCACTGATTTGCTTGTGCTTGTACAAAGAAATCTCAAGCGGTGTCCCTGCTTCAGCCTTGGCTAAGCTGTTTGGATAAGCTCCTCTAGCAACATGCCAGAGAGGTTGTCTGGGCTCAAGGAAGTCTCTTAACTGCTGGAGTACTTGTGTATGGTATGATACAACATTTGGAGTGTTCACCAGATCAGGTAAAGGCAAGGCAATATTTCTGTGGGGCAAATTAAAAGGCCTTCTCTGTTTCTTACTTGGCTTAAAGCATAAATTTGTGTGCTGAAAATATACTTGTTTTGCTGTTGTTGTTGTGTTCCTTGTATCTTTGAATTAAGATATCCTATTGAAAAAGCTTGACTTGCAGCATATTGCTCTATTTCATTAATACCTTCAGCTCTTTCTTTTTCCTAAAGTTTGTAGAAACAGTAAATTAGGAACCAGATTGTGGCTTGTGATTTTCAGTTCTAATAGAGCCTGGTGGGCACTGTACACAGAGCTTTCTTCTGTGGCCATGGTTATTTGGTGACTGCTTCCAGGTTATGATTGTTAATAGACATTCTCAAGTTCACCAATGGTGCTTTGCTTTCTAAAGAACTATTTGTATTCCCAGAATGGCTAACAAATCCTTTTGTTTAAATAAAAACCTAGCACAAGTTTGTCACAAGTCATAAAATCTTATATTTCTATTATTAAGTGCTACATCTAACAGTGTTTCTGGTTTAGCTAACAGAAGATCAGGTTAATCTTTAATATCTGCTGTACTTTTCTTGCAGTATAGTAATATTCTCAAAATAACAATTATAATGTTATTTGACTATTAGAATATGGGAATAGCACGTGAAGAAATCGTAAAAACATTTTTCCTTTCATTTTCTTTCCCAGAAGAGTATTGGAATATTAGAAATGTAGAATTAAAATGTTAAGCTTTAATTGAAATTACACTTGATTTACTTCAGCAGTGTGGTGTGCATTAAACATAGTTCTTTAGAGAGCATTGAATTATATATTTATGAAATTAATAAATGTGTATATCCAGTGCTTGGAGTTACATGGACGATACTTGCTCACTCATTTTGAAAATAGGAGGGAAAGCAAATGGAAAAAAAGTGTTTGAGATGATGGAAGACTTCTAGTCACTCAACCTTGGAATGGACTTGGTATTCTGGCTGGAGATGAAATATGTTCTCACTTCCAGCCCTGGAAGTCTCACTTTTTTTGTGACTTTCTATAATTCTAGTACTTAAAATAAAAATTATTCTTTGAGATCTAGTGAAAGCAAGCTTGTTGGTTTTGGCTACCAGCATCTGTAATATGGTCTCTCTTTCCCATTAACACTGACTTATCCTTCTTCACATTAAATTCTACGCAGTGTTCTCCCTTTGATGCTGTAGTCTATTTTTGTGGAATGCTTTTGAACAGAAGTTTTTCAGTAGATAAGTTTACAGTCCCAAAGAGTACTCACATGCTCTGTTGTATTATTGCATGCATTTAATTTTCAGTTTCCAGCTGCATCCAAATAAAACATCTACACATTTCCCTGGTAAAATCTTCTTGCAATTCCTGAAGTAGTGCCTGGATTTATCTCTTGCCCTTATTTATTTGGGTCTTTCATAGAGATAGGAAAGCTGTGTTTTCTTCTAAAGTTCCACCAGCTGTGTTTTTTCATGATTTGTGTGGTTTTTTCTTTTTTTTTACTTTTTATTTTTTTCTCTGTTCTCTGCAAAATGAACTTTACAGAATTATTTTCTTCTAAAGCTGACATATCATCCACTCAGGCAGTTGTCCAGATTGCTTAAATATGGGAGTTTAGTTGTTCCGATGGGTAGAAATTTTATTTTGGGTTCCGTAGTGTGACAGAATAGGTGCTACCTGGATATTATATGGTTTTACTGGGGTAACTTGAGCCTTGGACTGCTCTTGCCTTTCTTAATATGTCTGTAGCCATGAGGTTTCAACAGCATGTGACTCTGGTTGGTCTGCCACATTCATGTGCCTGTCACAAAGCAGCTGAACCAGCTTGCCATCCCAAGGTGAGCTGATCAAAGGTAGTTACAATAAGCAGGAATTTGTTTTGCATCAGTGTGTCTTTTTGATTGTTAAAGCGCCGAGATAATGCTTAATACTTTTCAAAGTACTACATGCTCAGCACTTATGAAACCTAACCTTTCTAATCTCTGAATTTAGGAAAACAGAACCTGAAGTACATCCTTCTGTGTTACTGTTGAAAATCTGGCCACTGGTTTTAAATTGCCCCTGTGCTTCATTTTTAGGGCTAGTTATAGATTTGCTAAATATAGGCCACTGCAAAAGATTCTGGGAAGTCTCTGATAGTGACTTAATGGGAGGCTTGCATTGAAAAACTAGGTTGCTCAGGTAAGCTTCTCAGATAAGCGGATAGATAGATTGCTTCAGGCAGCCAGGTTTGAAAAGTTTGCCCTACTTCTCTGTTTTGGAAACACCGGCATAGAAATGATCTGTATAAGGTAGATGAAAGCATCACTGCTTCAGAGATGTATACTGTTCAATATGCAAACTGATAGTGTGGTTGTTACAAGGATTTCATTTAAATATCTGATGGTGGCAATGGGACCGTCATTTTCTCAAACAGTGGCCAGGTGCTGCCCTTGATTATTGCTGCTGGTGGGAATAATTGTGTTTAAAGGAGCAAATGAAGAAAGGTGGTCCTGCTTGCCAGACTGACCAGTTGCATATGGGGAAGCATCTTCTAAACCTCTCTTGCTTGCATTTAATTAGGTGATCAAGGAAGTTTGGCTTGTAAGTTGACTGTTCTGGAGGCTTTATTGCTGCCTGACTCTCAGGTACTGGCATAGAAATCGCTACCTGGCCACCTGCATTACCTTACCAGAATCTTGTCCCAGTGTTTAACAGCTACCTACTCTAATGCAAAGTAGCAGCCTTGAATAATAAAACACTAAAGCAGTATGATTATACGGGAAATGGTGTTACATGGAAAGGAAAGATGTGTATAATTGTGAACTCCTCTGTAAGAAAGCAAGTAAGATTAGTGACCAGAAAACAGAAAGCTCCCCTTATCATAATTTTTATGATCATAACTAAACTTATTGAAATTGCAGTAAAACGTGCTAAAATCATTTCCCTTTTATTCCATCACCCTCCTCAGTCCCTCTTCCCTGTTGTAATAGTTACTTGCTCTCTCCTCTGGGCTACATGTTTGTTTTGTTTTTTTTCTTGAAAATTTTTAATTCAAGATGCATTTAAGAGACTTAGGCCTAAAAATGTCATTAATGGTTCTACTTGTGTGAAAGAAAAAAGATATTTATATAAACTGAGGATGTTGGTGCATCTGCATGCCTCTTTTTGTTACTCAAAAGTTTTTGGTGGGCTAGTGCTTTATAATTAACTTGTTCTGAAAAACTGAGCTGTTTCTGAAATTAAATTTTGGGGAGAGTCAGGAGAACTGATTAAAGCCTATCAAGTTTCTGTTGTAGCTTAAATTAAGCCAACTTGATAATTGTGAAGCAAGATGAAAATTAAAGCAGTGACAATGAAACCTTATATTGAGCAGGGATGTTGGGGGAAAAGCCCAAACCTGATCAAATAATGAGAAGTTTGCTCTACACCAAGGAAGAATTACAAAAATTGCCCAGAACTTACAGCAAAGCAACTTTTGTGGAAACCAGGAGTAACATCCTGCATAGACTACTGCCAGGTAACCTGGCAGCCAATTAAACAGACAGTTTGTGTGATTTGAATTTTGGACTCCAATTCTGCTCATTCTTTTAAGACCCCAGGCCCAGGAAAGGAATAGGGAATGAATGCTCCTATGTATATTATTTCTGCTGGCTTGCTTCTCTTTCTTATTCCACAGCACAGAAATTAATTTATGAGGAAATCGAGGATGTGTTCGTGCAGAAAGACTCATAGAGAAGGGGAGCTAAGAGGGCTACTATTCACCATTACTAACATGGAGGATGCTTATGTGCCACGCAACCTGATATTTCTTGCATCTGCAGAGACGAGGCAGAGTTATACTGCTGAACTACTGAGCTCCCTGGGGACAAGTTGTCTGCAGAGATAAATTACTGTTCTAAACAGCAGTAAGAATTAGAATCAGCAGACTGTTGGTATAATGGGAACTCAGAGGGGTTTTTTTTTTTTTAGTCACAAATGGGTGGAAGAAATGAAAAACAAACAAAAAAAATCACAAAATAGGACATTTGCACAAACACAGAAAATGAGCACATGTACATTTTACCCCTTCCTCTCCCTGTATTCCCCGAGTGACTTGTGTGAAGGCATTTCCAGAGCTAGGCTTTGGAGCCTTTTTGGACTCTATTGTACATTAGTCTCTGCACCCATAAAGTGACTCGAGGGTCATTCGGGGATAATTTAGCTTTAAATACAGGGTTGCACTAATATGTCTGTTGGCCCTCACTCATCCATTTGAATTGGCCAAAGTCCAGCTGGAAGAGACGAGAGGAGCTGTTTAAGGGACCTGTTCTTCATGACATTACATTATCATATCTCTTGTCTTGTAATTCCCAAAGAAAAGGCTAGAATGGGATCAGTGTAATGAAGCAGATTTCCTCCAGTGTAGGGAAGTAGATACTGGCTTTACATTAGAATGTTGCGTGCAGGGCAGAGTACAACCCAGACTTTGGCCCAAGGAAAATATAGATTCAAAGAAAATAGTAATTTTCATGAAAGTATTTCACGCTCATTCACACATAACACAGTCAAACTGTTGTGCCAGTTTATGAGTCATTTAGAGGAAACATATACTTCAGTTTAAAGATATGAAGGCGAAAGTAATTTGCTAACTTTTGGATTATTTACAGGGACAAGATAAGAAATAGTAAATTGTATTTTGACCCATAAATAACTCTAACTTTCAGATGTCTCTTCTACTTCCTGAATCTGTAAAAGAATTTCATTATGGGCAGAG